TCGGGTCGTCGAGAATGTTTGCCCTAGCGGCGTCTACGTCTACCTCCAAGGGCGTCTCGTTGAGGTCGGGAATCGCCCTGTTCACCGCCGGCGGCGTGACACCTGCCATCTCGGCGGGTAAAGTTGTTCCCGTCGGCTTCTAGTTGTCGCCGCGGTCATGCGGCGGTCGGTGTTCTGCCCACCAAAGGCGGTACTGCACAATCGATGCCGTGTATTGCCTTCGCACCTGGTCCCTAAAGGCCGCCCGTCTTTCGGCCCTCTCAGCGATCTCGGCGATCGTCAACTCCGCGGCAATGTTTGACAGTTCAAGAACTTCGGGCGGCGGATTGGTGTTCTGCTGGTTGTTGTTCGGAGTGGTTGTGGTCGGCGGGGTAATGGTCGGCGGTGTGTTAAGTGGCAGGGTGTCGTTAGGCGGGGTGTCGTTCGGGGGGGGGTTCGGGTTGTTGTTGGTCGGGGTGTTGTGCGGCGGGGTGGTGTTCGGGGGCGGGTTCGGCGGGGGGGTGTTGTTGGTCGGGGTGTTGTGCGGCGGGATGTTGTCAGACTGCTCCCTGGCCATTCGAGGCCGTACTGGGGATTAACGTCGACGACGGTTGTGGTAGAGGCTACGAAGAAACGCGTCGGCCACTTTCGGATGTTGTCGACCTACCTAGTCGCCGTAGCCTAAAACCGCGAATCCTAAGTGGGAATTCCGGTGAGTTTGCCGACCTATACTCACTGTACACCGGCGTGGTTCGTCGTCGACCCAGCTAGTCGTCGCGAGGACACTACCGCGAGCGGGCCGAGGTCGTCGGCGACAAAGTCTATGTGAACCTATTCGCACTCAAGCTGGGGGAGTCTCCTCGTCGACCGAGCACCAAACGGGGTCGGGCGGGCTCAGGGGAGCGCGAAATTGTGACTAAGGGAATGAATGAGTGAGCGTAGCTTGCTAGGAGCAGAGTGAAGGAAACCGAAGGAACAAAATGCGAAATGGCAAAGAGGGTCCATTGACGGTTGGTCATAGCAGTGCGGCCCACCTCCGCGGTTCGGGCGGACAGGTGTTGGCAGGAGATCCCTGGGAGGTCGCCAAAAATGCATGCACGGGAAAACGGCGGCGGAGTGGACGACGTGGCAGGGAACGTGCATGCCTTCGGCCTTCCCGACTTTCCGGTGTCCGTGCATTCTGGTTCGGGATTGCACGTCGGCGTGACGCGGCAGTGCTCGTCGCGTCGGCCGAGATGGCATCCCGGGGGATGGTTCCCGCCAACTGGCCGACCAACGCTTGGTCGCCGCGTGGACATTTGCCCGACGGGATGTTGGACGCGTGGAGTAGTGAGTTCGGGATGGGCGACATCTGGCTTGGCGCGCCAGCGCGGTGGTCGGCCAGCACGCACCGACGTGGTCAAGACATTGACCGCGCCGATGAAACGTCGGAAGTCGTGGCACGCTGCCCGCGCTCGGCGGCGTCAACGTGTCGACCTCGTACCGAGGGTCCGTTGAGGGGTGCCAGCGGGGTATCTCTCAACGGGATTGCCGAGGTGATGCAGGGTGACGCTCGTCGGCCAGGCGTGCCCCGCAGTTTGCCATCCGAGGGTGAAGCAGGGTGGCGCTTCTCTCCATCTGCAAAATCGTCTCACCCCAACCTAACCCGAAATTGACCTGGAAGTCACCTTTGGGTCACGAGCCTTGGTGAGTCGAGAGTCAATGGGTCCGTCAAGTTGGGGTCACTCAACATTGACCTAACCTAACCTGGCAGCCAACCCAAAGGTGACGCGCAGGTCAGCACTGTTCATCCGAGTCGCCCTCCCGGAATAGAGTGATCCATTACATGCTATAATTTTTTACTGTACATGCTACACCATAAAATAATTCGAATTCGTATACTAATGATTAATGTTGCACAGTATTCCAACATTTCCAATTACCGTAGGGATCAGGAAATACAAAATATCAAGGTGAAGTATACACGCAAGGGCAGTCGCTATACCACGGTACACTGCACACCAACTATACACATCTTAGCACATCTACATAGCGCTCAAGACCATACCATCTACTAGACATGGTAAAATCAAGGTAACCGAACGATAGCGATCTTGCAATCCGACGACCACCTGCCACACACCAGCAGCAGACACAGGAGGCAATAAACGCAGCCAGAAAACATTAACATGTAAGAAACAGTACATACCACAGTGCTGTACAAACCGTTACACCCACACAAAAAATGTTCGTACTGATTGTCCTCCAGATAATCATAGCAAATTCTGCACACAACACAGAATACAAACGCTGTGAAAGAAAACACGAATACATGTAATGTCAAGTAGGGAAGCCGCTTACACGCGAATGAAAACCATGTTGTAATAAATAACAAAACGCCGCCACATGTACTGCCATGTTGGGTAAGTGAATTTAAAAGGCATGCTTCCTCACCCACGTAGATGTCGGCTGCTCGTAGCAGCGTGAGCCACGGGGAAGAAGCCACGACAGGAGCCGTTGCTGCGCCCTGTACCAACAGCCAACATACAACCTAGTCAAAACCACGTTGTTATAAATAAACAACAGACCGCCACGTGTACTGCCATGTTGAGAAAAGGAACAGGAAAAGTGCGCGCTTTTTTACCAGCTCGATGGTCACCCACCCACGGCTGCTAGAAGCCACGATTGGAGCCGTTGCTGCCCCTCGTTAGACCTTCGTCGCTCCCCGCCACCTGCCCAACCACCCCCGCACCATCGCTCCTTGCCACCACCCGTTGCCTCCCTTCCCACCAGCAGCTCTGACGCCGGCGCTCTGTCGCCAGCTCTGACGGCAGCTCTGACACCGGCGCGGCGGCGGATGCGGTGGGGAGTTTTGCTGGAAGAGCCTGCGAAAGCGAGGGTCAAGGAGAAGGGAGAACAGCCTTTAAAGAAATAAACAAATTTAAAGGATATGGGCGTATCAGCTGCACGACAGCGCAAATGGTAAGAAGTTGATCGTTGCTTTTGTTGTATAAGAAGACCGCATCTGCACGACGAAACATGACTCGTTCGAACCTCATCGCTGCCTGCTAAATTTCCTAAGTGCAGGGTGCGTAGAAAAGCAGACACAAAAGTCGAGCTCCTGTAAGCAAATGAACATAGACTCAGCAGAGCAAAGTTCAATGGGCTATCTTTGTGACTAAACTAGGTTCATCGCGGTGTTACACGTTTCATAAAGGTTTAGCAACGGTACTGGGGTTTGGCGAGGTATGCTGAAAGGGTTGGGGAAGAAATTGGATGACTGAATATGTGGTTCACTGTTGTTCTGTGGAGCGGATTTTCAGACGGCAGCTGTGCAGTTTTCGGCGCAGCTGGCAGCTTTTGATTCGACCAGCAGTGCATGACAGGTGGCTCAAATTTCCAGCACTGAAAACGTACTGAGCTGGCAGTTCTTTCCGTTTTCAGACCAATGGCCATGCCACAGTGTACAAGTCTCACCTGATTCTAGTCCCCCTGCTCGTGATAGGCTGCTCTGATTTCATGTGTTTGGGGTTAGGCAATCGCGCCAGGGGGAGGGGGGGGGGGGGGAGGGGGGGGACGTGTCCTGGCAGGTGGGTTGTAACATTGTTTCGCCTACAGGTCGCCCTTGGTGACGCGACGGGTGCTACGCAGGTCGCGCGCGAAATGGCGACATGTTACCAGATTCGGGTGTTATAGCATTTTTTTTATTGTGTACCAGGCATCCTAGTCCAAATTTCGTACCTCCAAGAATATATCATAAATAAAAATGCCAGGCAGCATTTAGAACTTTTTTTTGGAGGAAATGTTTTCAGAAAAAATTTTGAAACTCATATTATCATATTCATTTTTACAAGTTGGAAACATCGTTAATTACAAAGAGCATATGTTGGGAATATTAATCTGTTATGAGTGTAACTGCAATTGATTTGTTTCGCCTTATTTCAACTATTCAAGCCATTTTTTTTTCCGAACGTGTGCGATTCGTCAATGTCAGCTCGAAGTCGCGACCCGGGAAATTTCGACGTACGATTGGCTAATGTTTTCCCTCGATGCGACCCGAGCCATTTATGGCATGTTATCGCCTTCCGATTGGCCAATGTTCAACGGAATAGCGGCTCGAACTTTTTTGGAGCGCGCTGTGGTGTCAGGTTGGGGTCATTTTCAGATCAGGCGCGTAATTTCCAGTGAAATTCGTAGCCTCAAGGCAACCTGCGGGTCTCGGCCGACTGAACTTGACCTGTAAGTCACCTTTGGGTGAGGTACAGGAAACCTTGTAGTCACCTTGGGGTGAGTAATTTCGCTGGGTCAGCCTAGGGTGGGCCACATTTTGCAGATGTCGCCGAGCCGCTTCGTTTTTGCACCCGGATGTAGTCGCCGCGTTTAGATATACCATGCTGAGCTAATACACACGATGCCCGACCACTGCGCCCGAATTTGCCCTGCCCATTTCAGAAAGCCTGCACTCGTGAGATTTCCCCCAGCCAGCTGCACCCTGCTTATAAGCGCGCCAAGCTACTTGCGCGTGGATGGCCGGGCGACAAAACAACCACATGAGCACCAGGACAACAGACTCTGGCCCGAGGATGCCCTGTTCCGAGGCCAGAGTCATGCACGGCGAAAACTGTGGCTAAGATTGCTGTGCCCTCGCAAACATTTTCGCATGGGAGTGTACGCCACGTCCGCAAGGCTCATTGTGCACCAAACGCTCATCCCGAGCAGCACTGCCTCCACGTGTACATTGCCAGCGATCGATATAAACCCATCTCGATGCACAATGAGCATTTATGCACACGTCATTTCCTGTGACGCTGGTTACCTGTGCGTGTAACAGGCCACATTCCCGAAACATGCACTCGTCGAAAGGTTGTTACTCGCTTCTAGATGTGGCTAGGTGAACGACTGCGAATGTTGACTCAATACATTTGCGGCCCGCAAAACGAATTCGACATTCGTCAAGCAGGGGTATGGGAGTCCACCATAAAATGACAAGTCCCAAAATCAGAGCTGTCACTCAGAACCATTAGCTTCTAAGAGACACAGGCATGCCGCGCCTATACCGCCGTTCGCAGCTCCCCTTGCACATCAAGCGGGCGATTTGTGCCCAGCATGTGAGCAACCCCAACATGCGCCAGGTCGATCTGGCGCGTTGGTGTTTCACGCGTTACGGGATCCGTCCCGATCGTTCTACCATTGGGCGGGTCCTGAAAAGCGCTGACAGATGGACCGCCCCGAATACCAACACTGTGCGTGTGCGTGGCGGCGCATATCCGGAGCTCGAGCACGCCATGGTGCGCTGGGTCCGCAACGCCGGCCCCGCAGGTGTCCCTCTGACCCTCGCCACCATCCGCGACCACGTCGCGGTCATTGCGCGCGGTATGAATCTGCCCCCCACGTTCCGCTGCTCCGTGGGGTGGGTGCGCCGCGCTATGCGTCGCCATGGCATTCGTTGCCGCAGCGCCACCGGCGAGGCGGCCGACCAGGACCACGCTGCGGTGCGCACTTGCCAGCAGCAACTCCCGCAGCTCCTTATGTACCTCGCCCTTCGTCCTTGCGACGTCTACAATTTTGATGAGACCGCTCTGTACCAATCCGTCTTGCCGCGCAAGACGTACGGAGGTGCGCGTGTGGCGGGGCGCAAGCTGGCGAAGCAGTGTCTCACCGTCGGGCTTCTTGTTAACGCGGATGGGAGCCACGCCTTCCGCCCATTGGTGATTTCGAAGTCGAAGCGCCCGCGGGATTTCCTGCCTGACTACGACCCGGAGGAACTCTGTTATTGGCGTAGCAACGCCAAGGGTTGGATGACCGCCCCTGTAAGTCCGTGATAGTGGTCCTACTCTGAATGTTTCCGCTGGCTTTAAGGCCCGTTGGCGCCTGACTTGTATGTTTGCGTTTACAGTAAAAAGAAAAAGGAATTCAATAACTGATCCCTGTCTCATTGTTCTGGCCAGATATTCACTCATTTCATTGGCCAGCTCAACGCCGCCATGGTCGCCGAGGACCGCAACATTGTCATATTAGTTGACAATGCGAGCAGCCACGCCGTGCAGAGTGAGGATGCAGAATCCGAGGACCTGTTCGGATTCCGCACCCGCATTCTAGGCAACATACGCCTTGTCTTTCTGCCGCCCAACACCACGGCATTCACTCAGCCGCTGGACCAGGGGCTGATTGCCACCACGAAGGCGCGCTACCGCCAGCACTGGCTCCGCGCGGTCACTACCCTGTGGCAGGAGGGCGGCTCTACCACAGCCTTGGCACGCTTTCGCCCGAACATGCGGGATGTCATCGCATGGCTCTCTGAGGCATGGATGAACATCCCCGCCCGCACCATCCAGCGTTGCTGGTGGCGCACAGGCTGCCTGCCCCGCTCCTGGGCAATGGACCTAGCTCATGTCGGCCGCGACGGTCTAGCGGCAACAGGCGCCGGCGTGAATGCCGCGCTCCCCATCGATCTCGACGAGGACATCGGCGACGTGGGCATCATGATCGCCCGGCTTGGCATCGGGCCAAGCGCAATGCCCGCCGCCGAGTTCGTCGCCATCGACGACGACCAGCCAACGTGCGCGGAGCCGGGCGAGGATCCGCTGGCCATTGAGCCGCGCACGCCGTATTCCAGTACGTCATGGGAACCACCCTCCACCATGCAGGAGGTTTACGACGACGACCACCCCGAGAGCCGCGAGGCGAGGCGCTATGCGAGGGCGGCCAGCGAGATGCTGATTGGCTATGCCAAAGCTACCGGCATCACTCCGCGCAACCTGTGCGCGCTCTTCGAGATCAAGAACCCCGTCATCGTCGACCGCATGGAGCGCGCAAGCCCGGCGCTGAACCTGAACGCCGCGCCTCCTCCCACTGCCCGGATGCTCGCCTCCGCGAGCGCCGCTCCTTCGCAGGCAACGCCCGACGTCGCGGCCGCGGCGACTCCTCGTCGCCGCGGTCGCGTCCTTCCTGCGTGGATGACTGCGCCGGCGCCGACCCGCCAGCAGCTCATTGACTCTGGCGTGAATGCCGTGATGAATGGCTACATCGATGCTGCAGAGTGGATGACCATGTGAGGGGGGGTTCAGCTCTGCGAGGAGAAATTTGAATCTCCTCTGTGCACACGCTTGCACATCTTGTGCACTCTTGTGCACCGTCATTTGCCCCAGTTGTTGAAGTGTTAAAATGACAGTTGTAATGCTCTGATTTGGTACTGCGAAGTGGTTGCATGTTGTGGGGTGTTTGTGAGTGATTGTGACATCGGTGGCTACATTGTTCTAGTAACATTGTTGTAACAAAAGCCCAACATTACAACCAAACACTGCCACCCTGAACTGTTGCTTCTTAACTTGAGCGCGGTGTTACATTTGCGGGATAGAAGCCCTTCGCTCCCGAGGCGAGCTCGACGAAAGCGGGCGAAGTAAGAGGACCACTTACAGTCCCTCTTCTTCACGCAGGTATGGGGGACTCTATCGCGCATCAGGTGTATTCGTTGACTGACTGTGATGAAATCTCGGTGTGGGACCACAGTAGCGTTTTTTGTGATATCACTGTACAGTGTACCCAGCCTGTCTTTGAACTTTACCGTAGCGCCACCCCTCCTACTCGTCTGCTCGGGAATGCTTCCGTACCAATTGATGGTGGGGAAGAAAACTTCACTTCGTCGCCTCGTCATCTCCTCCATGGGCATCCATTGTGTTGTGGGGGCTATGGCAGCGAAGTGGCGAACAGTCAAATGCATGTGCTTTCGCCAGTAAACAGTGTGTAAGAATGGTCCATGCACGGACCTCGTCAAGGAATTTCGCAGCAATTTTTTTCGCAAGACCCCGGGGCATCTCCCTTCACAAAAATCCCTCGTTTTGCGGCCAACCATCTAGCCAAGCCACATCTCCTGCCAGTACACATCCTCCTCCCTCCCACCAGCATATCTTCTCGACACTCTTGAATGCAGTGGCTACTTCCCATCTCGATAGTCTCGTCACCTTTTTTGAGACAGGCTCAGTACTGAACATCTTCAGGCCCTTGCAATGGACACGCTATCAAACCACTTGCTCACCAACGGGCGTGCGTTTCAGAACACATTCCCTGCTCCTCATCAGAACGATTTCGCACTCACAGCCTCCCTCGACGCCGAAATAGCAAATCCTGCGCAAATGTGGCCATCGCCATCGCCATTCGCGGGAGAAACCACTCAAATTTGCCAGAAGTATGTTCCTAGCGGTGCTGCGATTCCACCTCCCATGGAGGTACTCGAAGCGCCGTCGACCCCTGTGGGGTCCTTTTTCGACCTGCCCACGCTCGTCGGTGGCGAGTTCGTTGCGAGCGCAAGTGCTGCAGTGGCGTGCGTGCCGAACATCGCGGAAATACTTTCAAACGGCGAACAAGTCATCGAACGGCCCGCTGATCCGCGCCCTTCCGCGGTTGCTTCCGCGGGAGAAGCGATGCTGCCGACCGGCGCCGGCGCGTGCGACCCTCCAGTGGCGCGCAATCAGCTCGAGAAAATGCCTCCCCGCATTGCTACGGTCGCGCAACGGCAGAGCTCTCCGCTCCGCGCGGCTTCTTCTCCACGCCAGCCTCACACTCCGCCTAAAAATACCAGCAATAACGCGGCGACACCTCCGCCAGCCGTGTGTCGCAACTCGGGCGACGTCGCCGCTGCGGTCGCCATGTCGCATGGGTCGTCGTGGCGTCGCAGCGAGGACGACGCGACACTTCTTCGCGATATTCTTCTGAAATGTCGTCACGCCACCTCCGGAAAACCATCCGCTGCGGCGTCCGCCAAAGCTCCGGCTCCGACCGAGCCGCAGCCGCGCGGGTCGACGTGTTCCAGCCTCGGAGGAAGTGATGACGATCTTAATTTCAAATCAGCGGAATTGGCCGCGTTTCGAAAGACCCCCACGCCGAAGCGGCTTCGAGGCCCGGATCACGCGGTCCCCGACATTCCTCGCGGCGCTTCATTTTCCCCCGAACGAATCGTTCCCGACTCGAGCGCCGCCACGATACCGCCGCGGCGGCCCATGGCGCAACTGCTAATGGCACGGCGCTCCGTCGCTCGATCTACATCCATCTCCCGATCTAGTACTGCCGCGGCGGCCGCGGCAAGGCCTCATATTGGTCGATCCAACACTTCACCTTGCGAGCGCCGACACGCGCCGCAGAACGCCGGCTCGGGGTCTTCGAGTTTGTCGCCGCCGGGAGCGCAAGCGACGGCCGTTGACGGCGGTTCGTCTTGGGGCGACGAATCGGCTGCCACTATTCGCAATTCTAGCAGCTGTCCGGACCTCAGCGTGCATTGGGGCGCGGCGGTGGAAGGTGACGGGTCAAACCGCGGCGCAACGCACGCTGGCGTTCAAATCTCTACGGAGGAATTCATTGCGACGCCCTCGAAGAGGAAGAACGCGCGCGGCGTTTCGAAGCTGAACGATGGCGGTTCTCTCGGCGCGACGGCCGGAGTTGCTGCTCTGTCGTACCCCGAGGCGCCTCACACCTCTCAGCCGCCGGATATTACGGCGCCGCCGAAGCAGGAAAGCCTGCTGGATATGATATCGGCCACGGAAACAGAATCCTTGGAGAAATTGGAACCGTTCGGGTTTCCGTCCAATGCAGCAGGAGGTGCTGCTGCAAATCCGAACTCCGTCCTCCATCTGGATTTGGTTGAGCTGGCGCTGAAAAGCCATCCACAATCTGGCGCAGCCAATCAGGGCTCTGCCTTGTCAGCACCTGCGCAGGAAGGGACAGTCAAGATGGAAGGCAACGCGGCGGTTGGACTCGATGCAAGCAATCTCGCTTTTGACGTGCTTCAATCACATTATCAGTTGCTGGAGAAAGAGATGGAAATGGATCAACTTCGACAATGGCAGCAGCATCAGCAACTCCAGCGACAACGACAACAGCAGCAAAGGCGGACAACCAATCGGCAGATCACACCGAAGAGCATGAAGGAGAAGCAACGGAGAGAGAAAATCAGGTCAGTCCTCTCCTCAAACTTGTAAGGGTATCACTGTTTCTCCCCCTGCTTGACGGCTTGTTCCTGGTAATCCGCTCTTTGCTCGTATACCACTATCTCCTTAGGGCGTATTCCTACGGCCTCCTATCAAGAAACCTCCTATCAAGAATGCACATTTTGCCTGGTGAAAGTAGCGAGAGATTTTGGGTTTAGGGAATTTTTCAGTGTGAGCTTGATAAGAGGTTTTCTTGATAGGAGGATAGGAATACGCCCTCAGTCTCTTTTCCTGACCCCCACCACATCCCCCGTCCCCGGTTCTTTTCTTCTTCTTTTTCTCACAGTGAAGCCATGAACCGGCTCAGATTTGTAGCAGGTGGACACGGGGACGTCACATCCATGCTCAACCATGCCGCTGAGTTCATTATGGATCTGCAGGAAACCAACAAGAAGCTCAAGCTGGAGGTTCTTCAGCAAAGAGTCATCTGCCGGTGTAGCAGGCAGGATGGAGGTGCATTTGCATGCATTTAGAGCTCAGATACACAGCCACGTGCACATGTTTTGAATAATTATATTATGTAATGCTAGTAGCAGTACCGTACTACATGCAGCATCATGCACCCTGTTTTCCCAACAACAAAACCTGCCCATTTCCTTGAGGACGATTCGTCTCATCTGTGAGATCCAGGACTACTTGTTCACTATCAAATTAAAAAATAACTCTGAAGCAGGCATCGGGTGGTGTACCTTACACTCTGAAAGATGTAATCGAGTTGATGTATGGACCAGATGGGTGATTTGAGATATTTGGCAGACTATCACTAAGAAGAGTAAGCTCCATAAGTATTTTGTATTAAAACTTGTGGACACATTTTGATTCTTGATGGATGCAAACATTCTTTAGTACAGAACTATGCAAAGTACGGACGAGTAAAGCTACAATATAATGGTGCGGGACATCTGGTTTAAAACGCCTGCACCAACAGCAATTCAGAATGGCGAAATCAAGGGGTAGCAACGTTGGCCTTGGCCTTGGGTGCAATCTCATCCCCATCAGCAGTCCCTGCTGATGACCCGCTGACCTGCAGCTCCAGTAGAGTTGCTTCCCACTCCTTAGCCGGGCCCTGCAGAGAATACACAGCACACCACAGCAACAGAGTAAGACGTGCTGTCCATCTTGGACAAAAAGGACTGTTAACAGCGGGGGTGGAGAAACCGCGACTCATGTGAGTGAGCACTGAGCACATCGTGCATGTTGTGCATGTTGTATGGGTTAGGACTTGGGAGGAAACTGGTAGAAACTTCGCAAGTCAAAAGGCTTACCTTCCAGGAGAGGTCCTGAGCCATGCCGTTCAGAATCATCTGGTCAAAGGCTGGTGTGCCATAGACCTTGGCTGCCCTCTTCACTCCCGCTGTCAGGGCCGCTGTGTCCTCAGGGAACACCTCCTCGCACTGCGTAGTGGTGGTAGAATGGGATAGGGGGGGAGCGCGGAGGGGTATGAGCAGAGTGCAAGATTCAGCACTGGGCTGTGGTGGGAGAAAGGACGTTCTTGTTAGGAGGATGTTAATGAGGGGTACGCGAGTTGTTCAGCGGGAAAGGGAAACGGCCGCTGTGAGGCATGAGGAGGAGGCTGAGTTGAGCTGGCTGGTGAGGGAGGTCAAGAAGAAGTGCCAGAAGCAAGCAAACCACAGACGATTTGTGTAACATGGTTGATCCAAGTTCACCCAAGGTCAGCATCGGTATTCACGTCAACATTGAACTCGCCGATTTGGAACCCTGTGACGCCGTCCTTCATTGTGTCCACAAGGCCGCCCATGGACGCCACCACAAATAAGTTGAACGCATTTGTGTAACATGATGTTCCAAGTTCACCCAAGGGCAGCATGAGTACTCACATCGACGTTGAACTCGCCGATTTGGAACCCTGTGACGCCGTCCTTCACTGTGTCCACCAGCCCGCCCGTGGACGCCACCACTGGCACCGTCCCGTAGCGCATGGCGTGCAGCTGGATCAGCCCGCACGGCTCGAACCGCGACGGCACGAGCATGAAGTCCGCGCCGGCCGTCATGAGATGCGCGAGCGGCACGTTGAACTTGACGACGCCGCGCGCCTTGTCGGGGTATTTCACCTCGAGCTGCTCCAGCTGCTTCTCGAGGTACTTCTTGCCCGTGCCCAGCACGATCACTTGCACGTCCTCCTTGAGGATTTCAGGTAGCGCCGCGGAGAGGATGTCGGAGCCCTTCTGCTCCTCCAGGCGCCCGATGAAGGCGAAGAGCGGGACTTCCGGACGCACGGGGAGACCGACCTCGGCTTGGAGAGACTCCTTCAGGAGCGGCTTCACCTCCAGGACCTGATTGGGAGAAGAGGAAGAGGAAGGGAAGCGAGAGAGAGAAATGAGATAAAAGCGTGAGATGAGGTTAGGGAGAGCCAATTCGGGGCTTCGGGCACGTGTAGAGGAGAATTTGCGATGGATCCGTCTGAGGGAGGCCAGCTTCAGGCGTTTTCAGATGCGCACATGCGCGACGCAGTTCTCATGAACTTTGCAGTGAGTTTGCTTTCTACCGGAGCTTAATTAGGAAAGTGCTTTCCTCCAATTTTGAACTCACATTGGAGGCGTGTCGAGGTACTTATCCTGGCACGAGTCCCACTCCGTGGTATCCATCCCGTTCCCAATCCCGACTTTAGAGACGTCTCAGAAGCAGAGCACTCACATTGGAGATGTCATACGGCGTGTCGAGGTACTTGTCCTCGCTCGAATCCCACTCCGTCGTGTCCATGCCGTTCACGATCCCGCGGCACCCCACCTCCCGGATCACATCGTCCAGCTCCACACCCTTAGCCGGGCCGGACTTCAACTCCGCAGCGTAGTTCGGGCTCACGGTGAGCACCAGATCGGCCTCCTGGAAGCCCGCCTTGAGCCAGTTGATCTTGGGGCCCTTCACGGGCTTGTCCGACTCGTCGTAGAAGGCGAAGGACTCGCGGAAGCCCTCCGGAAGGTTGAGGAGGTTGAAGTCGTCGATGGGGAAGCGGCCCTGGTACGCGATGTTGTGCGTGCAGAACGCCACCTGGTGGGGGGTGCGATGTGAAAGGGAACGTACGCGGAAAAGGGGATGGGTACTTTGGAGTCTTGACAAAAAAACCGACTCATGACACGCGGAAGCGGCCCTGGTACGCGATACTGCGAGTGCGGCCCGTACCTTGGCGCTGTTGAACTGGTTGTACGGCTTGTAGAAGGCCTTCAGGTAGCACGGCACCAGCGCGCTGTGCCAGTCGTTCGCGATAAACACCACGTCCTCGCCATAAGGCCCGGAGTAATACTCGCTATTGTTCAGGTTCAAAATCCGCGGGGCCTCGATAGCCGCCTGGCAGAAGAGGCTGAAGCGCAGCTGGTTGTCCTCGTAGTCCGTGCCGGCAATGGGGCCGTAGACCTTGCTGCCGGTCTTGCCGTAGACCTTGGCGAGGAAGAGCGGGTGATCGATGAACACGCGGTCCACGCCGCGCTTGTAGCAGTGGAAGAAGCGGACGGTCTCCACGCGGTTACCCACCTTCACCTGCGGGAACCGGAAAGGGCATGGCAGCGGCGTGAACAGCGGCGTCAATGACGGAAGGTGCTAGTCAAAATGAATGAGTAGCTTCGACGTGGAAGGCATCAGTGAAGGTTAGCAGCAGTAAAAGGCGTTCCTTTGGCAAGCGATGTAGATTCTGACGTCTGTAGATTCTGACTTACGTCGAGGGTGACGTCAGTGTCCCAGGCATCCTTGTACTGATCGTAGCGAGGGGAAACGGTCATCACACGGTGACCGCGGGCCTGCCATGACACACAAGGAACAAGAGCACCGATCAAGCATGTTAGTAAGGTACGTGAAGAACACAGGTGAAGATGGCTGGCAACAGAGCATGAACACACGATAACATCGAGAAAATACTGCAATTGGAAAACGGAAAGGAATGATTTGCGCGACAGATTCCTGCTTACCGCAAGAGCAGGAGGCAGACCGCCCAGCACGTCGCCAAGCCCGCCAGTCTTGCTCCAGGGAGCGACCTCCGCCGACACGAAGACGAGCTTCATGCCAGGTTCCACCTCGCACTTCACCACTCCCTTGGCAGATCCCGCCTCCTCTTTGCCGGCTGACACCGCCTTAGCGACGGTTGACGCCAGGGACGGGGTCTGAGAAGCGACATTGCCTGGCATTGCCCGGCCGGATCGGAGACCCTCGAAGCCGGCAACCATGAGCTTGGAGGAGTCGGCCTTCTTCTGGGATTTGGCGATGCCATGGCTGAGTTGGCTCGTTACTCCACGGCTGATCGTTGCATTCATGGCGGTAGCCATTGTGAGAGCTTTTGGGAGTATCAGAGAAGGCAAACGGGAAGTTTGGCCTTACGAATTTCACAGGTTAGCTCAAGAAACCTCGACAGAGGAGGTCAATGAGAAAGGAGAGGAGGAGCTCCTGGAATATGGGCCTTTGAGGTGGAGAGCGCTGCCACAAAAGCAGGGAGACTCAGGAAATAAGAGAAAAGCAGGACCTTGGAATTTCCTGGGTGCAGAATGCATGTCCCAGTCCGCGTCTTGTAGATTTGACTTCCTGGTCGTCAGGAAAGCGGAGACTGCGCAATGAAAAGGATCGACGGTCAGAACGTAGTCATGAAGACGGTCACTGTGGGAGGGAAAAGATCGACGGTCAATGCAAGTGGAGCTAAGGAGATCGATGGACATGAGAGCTTGATCCCAGCTGTGATCAAACACATCAAGCAAACGGTTGCCGATTCCTTCTGCTTGAAAATTTCCAAGAAGATGGGAGATTAATTCCAGGTCCCAAATGACAGCCACCCAAGAGCCCAGGTATGACCTGGCTTGGGCCCGGGATGAATCAGAATGAGAATCTAGCAGGAGGAGGTCTCCGGCTGGCTGGAGATCACATGTGACAGTAACGCGAGCAACGCTAAATTGAATCGTTTTATTAGTCGGTTCCCGACACGTGGACTTCAGAATTCAAAATTTGTGCCAGGTGCGAGCCGCATGCTGCTTTTCTGTGAGCCCCACAGCAGC